AAAAAAAAAAAAAAAAAAAAAAAAAAAAAAAAGATATATTCTCCAAAGGCTATTCTCCTCCTGTCTGTACAGCTATGCACACATTTTATGTGCACTGGCTGAATACTTACTAAATGCTAGGCGACGTGCTCAGCACCATGGTTCATACCCTCAATAAAATCACATTTTAATAAGCACCAAGCAAACATAATTATGGCATATGATTGGTAAAACAATACTATACCAAATGTTATGCATGTCTGGAGGAGGAACAGACCACATTTCTGGGAAGTCTAAGAAAAAGTTGGCAAAGAAAACTTTTGAGTATGCCTCAAAGAGTTGATTGGGGGTGAGAGGTCAGGGACTAGGGTCAAACAGAAGTACAGACAAGAAGGGGCTGAAGAGCCTGAAAAGAAAGAATAGTATGATAGGGCAGAGATCTAAGCCAACTAGGGAGAAAGATGGGGGATACAGGACAGAGGGTGCTATGATTTGAGGATGTCCCCTACCGGTTCAGATGCTGGAAGCTTGGTCCCCAGTGTGGCAATGCTGAGGTGACAGAATCTTTGAGAGGGAGGCCTAACTGAAAGGTAATCAGGTCATGGGGCATCACCCCCAGAACAGACTGATGCTGGTCTCGTGGAGTGAGTTTCATGATCACAGGTTGTTATAAAGTGAGGCTTCTTTCTGCATGTGGCTGTTTCCTTTTTCCCACTACGCTGTGATGCAGCCAAGGAAACCCTCACTAGAGACCAAAGAGATGGAGCTGCCTGATCCTGTACTTGCAGCTTCCTAAACTGTGAGCTAAACAAACTTATTTTCTTTATAAAGTACCCAGCATTCTATAGCAACACAAAACCACTCCAACTGCAATCTATGGAAGCAAAACTCTCAATTCCCACTCACTGGAGTAGCACAGGGGTCAGAAAATCAGGTGAGAAGATACTATGTAGTAAGTAAACTGAGTTTCGCTCTTCCAATAGGGCTACAACCTTAAGCAAGATTAGCTTCCTCATCAAGATCTGTGTTTCATTTGCTGTTGCCAAGGCCCTTAAATTCCTACACCCTATACTGACCAATGTCCTGGACTTCATGAAGTTCTTGGGTAACCCAAGAACCCCTTCTACCTGCCTCTCAGCCCATCCACCTGCTGACTACAGTCTCTCCTGACAGACGACATTCACATTGGCCCCCCCAGGAATGACTCCGATCCTATCAGATTCTGGTGCCTACACAGCTACAGTGACAGATTTTCTCAGGACACATTCATGCCCTCTGGAATCTGGTATGCAAATATTTCCCTTCCAAACTCTGGGCTAACATGTTCATTTGATCTCTTTCAGTTGTCCTCTCAATCTTCAGATTTTATCCCTAAACTTCATCACTTTAAGGAATCAAAGTACCTTCAGAATTACTATTTCCTAACTTCTCAGGTGAGCTCTCTAATTTTTATCAAGACTTTAAACCTGGTTTCTTGTTGTGGTTCATATACATAATAAACAGTCTAAAAATTCTATTTTACTTTGGATAAAATCAAATCTTTAGATCAATTCGCTTATACAAAATTTCACCCAAAGTCCATTCCTCTACTTAATCTAATCATCCATGGGAAAAAAAATCACATAATAAACAGTACCTTTGAAAGGATGCCTAACGAAATGTAAAAAAAAAAGCGTAACAGGTCTGCTGATGAAGCAAGAGCCAAACAAATACCTGAAAAGACAGCAAGAAGAGAGAAACCTTCCTTTCCAATCCTCCTCTAGTAGCTAGGGTATAGAAAGAATGCAAGGGATTTAAAAATTAAGAGAAGTATAAGTTTAGTAGTTCCTGGGAGTATGAAAACCTCAGTCTCTTTCTTTCTGGGCAGATGGTGCCTACAAGTGCTATCTAAAAGCTCTCTAAGTTCTAGGGAGACACAGGCCAGAGAGGAAGACCAAGAATTCATTGCTTTGGGAAGCCCTGGGTTTAGGAAAGAACAAAAGAAATACAGGAATAACTGAGACATTTCTTTTTAATTCTCCAAGTTTTACTCCTTAGGTCAGAAAAGACACAGAGGAACAGAAGAAATGGCTTATGTTTAGGAAGTATACATATCACCTGAATACAGAAAGGAACAAGGACCCCCTCACTTCTTCTTCTTGACTTTTTTGGGGGGTAGTACTAGCTATCGAAACTAGGGCCTTCACATTGAGCTATATCCCTACCTCTTTTATAATTTTTATTTTGAGGCAAGGTCTTGTTAAATTGCCAAGTTGCCCAGGCTGGGTTCAATTGTGACCTTCCTGACTCAGCCTCCCATAGTGGTAGGATTACAGGCATGTATCACCACAGCTGGCTTTGTTTCCTCTCTAAGGATGCTAGTTTTAGGCATGCAGATTGGCAAGTAAGTAATTGATATCTAGATGGAGAAGAGGAAATACTGTAAACACTTTATATCCAATGTGAGTTTAGCTGAACAAAGCTGCAAGGACATACTGAATACTCCGCCTTCCCACACAGGGCTTCCAATCCCCCTGCCCCCCATTCCTGGCAGCCCAGCTCTGCTCCACGTGGAGTAGCCTTACTTGGTGAGCTCATGGTCTGACAGAAGCTGCTTTAGGTGTCTCGAAAGCAACTTTTTCTCCATGGACAGTCGCACCCATGCTCTGGCCTTGCCCACATCAGTCTTGATTTCCCCAATGTTCTGGATATGCCTGAAAGGAAACCAAAAAAGGGAAGTGCAGTATAGATGGAGATGAGCTCACTATCAATATGTGAACTGTAAAGCCAATGAAGCCTAGTGAGGAAGCCCTATGCCATCCAACGAGAGGCCATCTTCAAATTCTGAGCTTCAGAGTGGCTTTACCATACAAGTTCACCACAATTTGGAGGATAGAGACAATACAGCACTCAAAAACTGCGGGTAACTCTGAGAGCTGGGGCCTTGAGAAACTTTCCTATGCTCCTTCACCTCTTGCTCTCTAAAAATGCCAGGAAACCCAGATATTTGTACAACTTGACAAATCCATCAAGAAGCATGAGAACAATGAGGAGGGCTTCCCGGTAGCTGTGAGGCTATAACAGCCACTGAGATCCTGTTATCTAGAAATGGACAACAGGGCTGGGGATTTAGCTCAGTGGTGCCGCATCCTGCCTCGCAAGCACAGGGACCTGAGTTCGATCCCTGGTACCAAAAAAGAGAATACACATATTTGCTTTTTTCCCAGCCTTTGGAAAAAGCATTCAGCCTTAAAGTGGACAACAAAGTGACAACCGCAAACAGGACTTTAGTGGCTTATTACACGTGAGCCCAGACTGACCTCATATCCTGAATCAAGGAGATCCTCAGGGGAGACATGACTGAGCTGGCATCAGACTTCCTCCGTTCCGAATCAAGAAGTATCCCTAGAACAGCAAAGGTGGTCATATGCAAAGAGATTTGAAGATCCACAGTTAACTACTCAAATCACAAGTTTCCATGAGAAATAGTTGGTTACATTGATAACAACTTAAGCAATCATTTCATAAATGTTTATTAGGTTCTAATTAGAGAGCATATTTTATATTTTATGTACATTATTTTGTTTAATTCTCTGACAATTTATAAGATGGTCAAGGAAGACAGCACACTTTCTCCACTTAACAGAACAGGAACTGAAGTTCAGAGAGGTTAGTAGCTTTGCCGAGGTCACCAACTGGCAAAGTTAGGACTGAGACAGCTCTCCTAGCTCCTAATCTACCGTGAGTTCATAATCTATGGAAGCAGTGATTCTGCTTGGAGCTGCTACTTGTGTCCTAGGCTGGCTCTAAAACTGGCTCCAGAAGAGCCAAGGGAAAATGTGAAGGACCTGGGCCAGAGCACTCAGGCCTCCAGGAGGCTGAGAGGCTGGAACACCTACATGTCCTTCCATCTGACCCACAGTTTACAGTTAGTATTCTCATCACCAAGCTGTTGAGAAGTTGAGGCTACAGTTCATCCCTTGGCAATAACTTCTATAACCTTCTTGAGAAGATTCTGCTCTCACATGTAGAAAACAGACCCTCCCACCCACACACAAAAAAATACTCATTAAGCTGCATAGGGAACTCATGTCCCTTGGTTTTCATCCAATCATCTGCCCAAATCCAGTGCTGAGGTCAACTAGTTCAAGAGCAAAGAGTTCACACCCATTTACTCACTCTAACTTATTACTATTAGGATAAGAATATCCAAGTAAACAAACTCTGGCAAATAAGAGGCAACAAAGAATAGTATGAAAGGGAGATGCAGCCATGAATGAAAAGAGAGAGAAATTGTTGTGGAAGAGACACAATAGGATGGTATAAAGAACAATGAAAGTCAGGCATAGGGGTGCATGCCTATAATCCCAGCTCTCTGGGAGGCTGATACAGCAAGATTTCAAGTTTGAGCCCAGCCTGGGTAATTTAGAAAGACCTGTCTCAAAATACAAAATAAAAAGGGCAGGAATGTAGCTCAGTGTGAAGGCCCTGGGTTTAACGCCAGTAATGAAAAAGGGAAGAAAACAAACACTGAACCAACAATGACAAGGAGACAATGAACCTTGCTACTATAATCTGGCTTCTTCAAATAATTTACTTCATGATCCTATCTAGAACTTAGTTTCTTCTTACAGAATGAAGGGGTTGGACTACATGATCTCTAAAGTCCCTACAAACGGACATTTTTATTAAATTAGAAACAGAAAGACATCATAAAGGATCATTCACACCAGGCCGCCGAGTTCCAAAAGACAATGACTTGACTCAGAAGGTATTATACAGTAATGTCAAAGCTTGTGTCAGAGAAAAACTCTCTCTGAAAACAGGGGCCTCCAAACATAGGACAGAGGTGTCTTAGTAAATCCCAAATTCATTCTGACACTGGCCTTTTGATTATTATTTTTCATCTTGATGACTGAAAGGGTATAAAAGCGCATCACAATAAAAGCAAACTCCAAACCTTTGGAATGCTCTGTGGCTCAGGGAGCTTCAAACAGAAAACATGCCAGAGCAAAGATCTACTGGTCTGGAACAGTCTGCTGCTATAGATGATCACTCCAGCGAGGGATGGGAGAGTGAATTGAGAGACTTCTCTGCAGTGGTGCAGAATCATCTTACCTGAGCTACTGAGGCTTCCTGATGCAAGTTTTCTCTGCCGGTTTTCCTGATAATGTAACAGGTGAGACCACAAGGCTGATTTCCCCTGCAATCAGTGTGAGCGAGAAATAAGTTTGTATTTTAGAGGCCAAAGCTTTCAACATATGGATACTGCTAAAAGTATCTGTATTGTTTCTTGTTTGAATTTCACAGGCACACAATATATACAAATATATACCCTTACTAAAATATAAGAAAAACATAAAAACTGAAAGGAATAGAAAAAGGAATAGTCCTCCACTAAGAATAGTAAAGAGTTGTCCAAGAGGGGTTGGGAAGGGACCAGAAGATAAGAGAAAAAGGCAAATACCCTGTCAATCTCTTAAATGATCTAGTGGTTGAAGGTTGGCCTGGGCACAGCAGGAGGACTTCTGGATAGAAGAGCATATGTATATCCAGTCTATGAGTCTATAAAAGCTTCTGAATTTCCTAAAACATGTAAGGGCATGTCTGCCCTTAGTGTAGACTGGAGAGGCTAATTCATCACTATGATGAGGATTTACTATTAATGGTATAGCTGAGGAAGCCTATTGAAAGGTAGGCTGCTACCTAATGGTAAGGCCAAGATAAACTATAGTCAATATAATAGAAGCTTGCCTTTTAGAAATGTAAGAAGTGCAATTTAAACTACTTGAGACACAAAGTAATTTGTCATTTTGCCAAAGCACAAATCTGAATAACATTTACAAGCTTGACATAAAGGAGCGATTCACCCCTTAGTGAGTGCACCCAGCTGGCCACCTGTGGCCATTAATCATGACTGTCAGCTTGACTGGATTAATAAATGCCTAGCAGGTTGGTAACACACACCCCTGGGGGTGTCTGTGGGGTGTCTCCAGAGATGACAGTGTAGGCCAGCAAACCAAGGCATGAACACCCATCCTGGACATAGGTGGCACCACTCCAATAGGCTTGCACCCTTTTGGGAGGAGGAAAGAGTAAGTTGGGCTAGTCTGAAAAGCTCCATTCTGCTTGAGTGGGTGTGTCCTTGCCACTGCCATTGTCTGTGGGCATCAGGCTTCAGTTTCTTCGGCCTTTCAACATGGACTCACACAAATAGCTCTCCAGATTCCGGACCTTCATTCAATCTTGGACTGGTGCTGCATCCTTGATCCATCTTGTTCTGTGATTCCAGCTTCTTGGACAGAGCAGCTACTAAATCCTCTGGTTCTCCAGTGCAGAGAGACAATGTGGACTCTCTTACCTCTAATCCTGTAAGCCTATCTAATAAGTCCCCTTGCATAAATGGATATATTTTTTCTATTGACTCTGTTCCTGTACAGAACCCTAACCAATATACAATCCCAGCTTTGTCTTTTTTTTTTTAGATAAGGGTTCATGTTGCTCAGGTCGGCCTTGAACTTTTGATCCTCCTGCCTCAGCATCCCAGGAAGCTGGGACTACAGGCATGTGCCACCACACTCAGATGCTTCATCTCTTTCTAATGGTCTTTCCGTATATTATGACTCTTTTTATTTTTTTTAATTGAATTTTATGACTCTTTTTAAATGACAAAAATTTTATTTCAAATTCATGGTAAATATTTTTATGTGGTTAGCCAGGCATGGTGGTGCACGCCTGTAATTCCAGCACTCGGGAGGCTGAGGCAGGAGGAGGATCCCTGTGAGTTCGAGACCAGCCTCGGCTACATCGTGAGTTCCAGGTCAGTCTCAACTACATAGTGAGACCCTGTCTCAAAAAAAAAAAAATATATATATATATACACATATATATATATACATATATATATGTATATATTTTTTAATGTGGTTAATATATTTGGTTTAGAAGTAGGATGTATTACAATCTTATAAAATTAGCCCTGTATTGAATAAAAGTAGTACTAATGACAGATGTTATAATGTCTCAAAGCTTGCTGCTTTTTATTTTGTTTTATAGTATTGAGGATTGACACACTAAGCTACATCCCCAACTCTTATTTTTTTAATCTTTTATCTTGAAATAGGGTTTTGCTAAGTGGCCCAGGCTTAGCTCAAACTTGTGATCCTCCTGCCTCAACCTCCCAGAGTGTTAGGAATACAGGTGTGTGCCTCCATGTCAAACTCATGCTTATAATTAATTAAGCACCATGTCAAATGGTTAAATATAGTGTTTTAATTAATGCTGTCAACAATCCGACAAGGTACTATAGACACTTCTACCCCATTTTCTTAGAAAATTGATGAGTGTGAAAGTTTAAAGCCCTGTGATGAATGTGAAGATTTAAAGTCTTAAGACTTATCTCGTGAGAAAAGCAAAGACCTATTTTGTTTCTAGTCACCAACTTGACTTATTTTGGAAAAAAAGAAGTTCAAACATTTATACTGAGGGGGACCCTCATCCATAAATTAGCAAGTAAGTTTGCCGTATGTTTGGGTTTCCTACAAGATTTATGCAGTTTAAAAACAACTCAAAAAATGCAATAATAATAAATATATATACAAATTAAAATTAGAAAATACTACTTTTATTATCAATATATAAAATATTTGAAAACATAATTTTTTGTTTGTTTGTTTTGTTTGTTTTTTGAGACAGGGTCTCACTTTGTAGTTGAGACTGACCTGGAACTCACTAGGTAGCCCAGGCTGGTCTCAAACTCACAGGGATCCTCCTGCCTCAGCCTCCTGAGTGCTGGGATTATAGGCGTACACCACCACGCCCGGCTGAAAACATAAATTTTTAGACTTTAGTGAAAGGTGTAACTCCATGCACTGATACTAGTGAAGTATATTAATATATGTAGAAGATAATTCAAGATCTTAAAATATTCATGTTTTTTTACTTAATAATTCAGTATCTAGAAATCCATTTACCCATCCATTTACTAAATCCATTTACCATTCATTACAAAGTAGGCTCCTGGAAGGGCAGGGACTCTGTGTTACTTATCTCTGAATCTCTACCACCTAAACAGACTAGGAAGAAAGCTTCAGGGAACTAATGGAACTGTCCGTTCACTGTGACACACATGAAATGAGCAGTTTACCTGAGACTCCTCACATGCAATTACGCTGAAGGGCAAAGCCAGGAGGAGGAAGCCCCTGGCTCACAGCAGTCACAGTGGTGAGGAAAAGAGCAACAGCAAAGTGGCAGAGGTAAGGGCTGCTCTTTGTCCTCATTTGCAGAAGGGTTCCTGGGGACTGCAGGGTTCAATACAGCCTGACTTCCCATTTAGGGGCCTGGCCACACAATATACAGAACCAGATTGTCCGAGAAGATCACAAGCATGAGATGATGAGAAACACTTTTTCATGTAACAGTACCCAAATTACAACAGTTACAAAGCCAGTCTGAAAAGCCAAATCTCACCTCAACCAGACAGAAAAGCATACTAGAGATGAAATCTCATCCCCTTCACTGAAAAAAAGCAACGAAGATAACAGGTTCTTATGAAAACCTGCTGCAGGCAGCCCTGCACACAACCAATCAAAACTACTAAAAAAATACAGAAGGTCATTAGCAAAACCTACTATTTGCGTTCTCTGTTTTCTAAACATATAAGTGTGTTGCTAAGGTGCCCCAGATGGGAGCAGTAAGATCATAGTGATAGTAAATTTGGTCACAACCTGGATCCACAATGGAGAACAAACAACCAGGGCGATACTACTGGACTGGAACAAAACTAAAGAATGTTTTAACAGAAGAAAGGAGATCTACACACAAGCCAGCAAAACAGAGGTGCAAGAACATGGAGGCAGGACCTCACAGAGTCAATCTCTGGCTGAACAAGGGTCCCTGAGGCCATAAAAGCCAGAAAACACAGACCCTCACTGTCCTCTAGGGAAAGTGTCACTGCTTCACATTTGGAGTGATAATCCAGGACTCAACAAAACAGAACCTCATGTAAATTGTTCTGCCCTGGTTTCTCACCAAAGCAGCTGCCTGTCTACCCAAAAAGAGAGATCAACTGAGCAAAAAGAAATTCCCCATGCTGTGAGAATTCTGAAGAATACTGCTACAAACCCTCAGAGGATAGTTTTGAATATGTAATGATATGGTACTATTTTTCAAAATGCAGAACTAAGCCTCACTAATTCCCTAGAGATTTATTTTTATTTTTTTCAGACAGGGTCTTGCTATGTTGCTGAGCTGCTCTCACATTCCTGGGCTCCAGCAATCCTCCTGCCTCAGCCTCTCTAGTGCTGGGATCAGGTAAGTACCACTGTACCTGGCTTAACTCTAAGATTTTTATGATAAATATTAAAAAGTTTTAGGGTCATATATTTTGTCAAAAATCTGAAAGTTCAACTATAGTGCCAATCTTGCTGGATATTAACAAAAATGGTAAAAGGATTATGTATATTCTACTCACTTGTTATAGAGAAAAAGAAATTCTTCAAGTATGACCTAACATAATAAGAGCAGTTGTGTGTAACATACTCATCACATCCCAGGTTCTCATTTTTATTACAACTAGTTATCACACCAGCACTGATAAGATGGCTTTACTAACTACTTATCTTTTAATGTATTTAGAAGACAAGTCTCACAAACTTTAAGACATTTATTTAAAGTCTTCCAGTTGAGCTAGGATTCTAAGCCAAGTCTTTCTGACCCAGCTCAAAGTGCATTACACTGTATCATACTATAAGTAGGACTCAAAATTTTAGAGATTCAATATATAATTTTTAACATTTTAAGAACTCCATAATCACAGTCTTTTAATGATAATGAAAGGTGTGAAACAGCCCAAACAACTAATAATAAAGGACTGATTAAAGTGTGACCTCTATATAACATAGTAATTAAAATCAAAATTTTAGAAAAAAAAACCACAAATATTTACAGAGAAATTTCCAGACACTGTATTTTCCCAAAAAATAAGACCTAACCAGAAAATACGCCCCTGCATGATTTTTGGGGGGATGCTCACAATGCAAGCCCTACTCCAAAAGTAAGACCCAGTTAAGATAGCCAGATGAATATAATTAGTATGACCACTGCAACATGCAACAGATATACTGAATTATAAAATATTAATATGTAATTAAATATAAATATTGTTGAAATTAATAAATGATACATAAATTATAATTAATTAAGTATTTGGAAATACACAAGCAGGCACCTTTGGATGAGAGGTAAATGCCTATACAAAAAGATTAACTCGAGACTTACTGCCGAGTGACCAACAGAAGTAGACACAACCCACAAATAATATGCGCATTTGACAATACATGGATGTGGCTGGGTCTAATATGGATTCTGATAATTCACTGTGTGTTGTAGCAGAGAACGTAATGCAAAATAAAGAAATATTTTCTAAGTTTTGGTGCCTACAATTTTTCATTACTTTTGTGATGGACCTTCATTCTTAACTTGTCATCATTTTTGTTAGCTCTCTTGTCTCTTAAATCTTCAAGTAGCTGGTGATTTAGCTCAGTGGTGCCACCACCTGCCTCATAAGCATATGGTCCTGAGTTCGATCTCCAGTATCAAAAACAAACAAAAAACCTAAGTCTTCAATCAATACCTTTTCCCCCCAGTACTGGGGATCAAACTCAGGACCTTGCGCTGGCCAAGCATGCACAGTGCCACTGAGCTAGATCCTTGACCCTTCAATTAATACTTGATTTGACAGAAACTTTGTGAAGCCTGGCCTCAAAGAGGTTGTGACTTGGGTGAAGAATTAATGGGATAAAATCACTGATGGCTGTGTTTCCAATGCACTATATGAGCAGCTACATGGACAAGAAGTGCTCATTTAAGGAGAGCACTACTGCTAGACATGAGAGATTGGGGCCAGTGGTTCTATAGAAAATGTAGTCATAAAAAATTCACGCTGAAATTCAGGGTTTGGAGAATTATGGAGATGTTCCAGAAGATGACACAACTATATTTGAATAAATGTAGATTGTTGTACATGAATAAATCTAGATTGTTATATGTGGAGAAAAAAAAAATATCTCCTGAAAATAAGCCCTCTGTGTCTTTTGGAGCAAAAACTAATACAAGATCTGATCTTGTTTCAGGGAAATATGGTAGTAGGCTCTGGGCTTGGAGCAGTGATGGTGGAACTTTTAGATTTCAGTAATATAGACAGTCCACTGCAGCAGGTTCACCACACTAGCTTAGGACTTTACACTAATTATCTTATCTAATCCCTTAAAATGGACTTAAGAGAGACTACATTGTTTAGTTTAGAGACTACCTTGTTTAGTCTCATTAAAGTTATTATGTGGGAATTATATTTAAAAACCAGGCCTACTTGATTTATTGTCTAAACTCTTAAACACTACACCATCACCTAAAAACTTGGTTAAGACACAGAAAAGAGGTGTTAAAAAAGCAAGTTACAAAATGTTAACTACAGTACAATCCTGTTTGTTTTTTTTTAAAAAAACAACAGCTTAACAAGAACCAAGATATATCATGTAAAGGTACAAGATACCAATGATAAATGTAACTGTATTGTTTGCTTTACATGTACTAATAAACAATGGGGAAAAAAACAGCTTTACTGAGATGTAAGTCACATTACTATAAAACTTATTTCTTAAAATGTAGCATTTTATGTATCCACCCCACAAGTTCTGATTTTTAGTATATTATCAGGGATAACCATTACCACTATCTAATATTAGAGCATTTTCACCACCCTCTAAAGAAATCCCACACACATTTGCACTCACTACCAATCTTCCCTTACTCTAAGCCTCTAGTGATCTCTAGTCTACTTTCCATCATGAATTTGCCTATTCTGGACACTGTATTTAAATGAGAAGATTATAAATCCAGGTGCGGTGGCACATACACTTGGAAGGCTGAGGCAGGAGGATTGCCAAGAGTTTAAGGCCAGCCTGAACTACACAGCAAGACCCCTTCTCCAAATAAAGGAGGGAGGGAGGGAAATTTTCTGGGTCTTAAGTGGTAAAAATCAAACACTTCTTAAGGACTTCTCTCAAATCTTTAGATAGATAAACCACCTTCTTACCAAAAAAATAAAACAAAACAAAACAAAACAAAAATGTCAGTGACAGACCTTTCTCCATGTACAATTAGTGAAGGGTGCGAGTACCTCCCAAGCTCCAGTTTCACTGTTCTATCTTCAGACAAGGGCAAATTGCCAAAGTAAGGCTAATTTTTAATTGTACTTGCAGGAAGGAAGACATCATTTTCAAAATCTGACAAATACAGATCTATGAAGCTTTTTTTCTTGGAGACAGGGTCTCACTATGTAGTTGAGACTGACCTGGAACTCACTATATAGCCCAGGCTGGTCTCAAACTCACAGCAATCCTCCTGCCTCAGCCTCCCGAGTGCTGGGATTACAGGCGTGCACCACCACGCCCAGCTATGAAGCTTATTTTTAAGAAAAATCATTTGGATCACATTTGTTTGTTCAGTGACTTCAAGTCTCATTCTATGAGCACTGCAGACATTCTTCAAAGCCAGGCAACTGAAGAAAGAGTACAGGGTGTGATCCATGAAACCAAGAAGGAGTTAGCTCAACAAGAAAAGGCCAGACATCCATTACCTGTTTCACTTGAAGCCCATGACTCCAGATCCTTTCTAGGAGGTCACAGAGGCTGGCGATCAAAGTGTTCTCTTCCACACCAGTGATGTTCACTTCCCCATGCCCTAGTTCCACAGCCTCACGGCCCATCTTCTCCACCAGCATCCTCTTGGTCTAGGAATGAGTCAGTAGGACAGATAACCACAGTGAGTGGGACCACATGCAATGCAAGTGCAGTGGCAGCCTGCATGGCACACCTGCTAGGCTGGGAGACACAAGATGAATAAGCCACAGGGACAGAGGACTTTGCACCCAAGTAGATCACGTTCTGGGAAGTGCATGCTTTTAAAGGTTAGTTAAGAAGGAGGTGAGAACACACCAATCATCATTTGACCCTTGGCAAATGATTTCATCACAAGGGATTCAGATTTTACATTTACGAGATCAACGATTTTAATAAAAACCTTTGATGGTGCTCTTCTCTGACATCCTCTGATTATCACTATTTAAACAACCTTACTAAATAAACCTTCAAGAATACATATATGATCTACAAATATATCTGAAATAATTGCCAAAAAAGTCAAGGGTAATTTACTTTTAGATAAAAATCTTCCAATACTTATGTAAAAACTTAATAAAAAGAACACTAGCTGTATATTAAATTTGTGTCACTGTTTCTATTTAATATTTGTCAGGCATTGCACTAGGCATTACATTATCTCATTTAAGACTCCTAACAATCCTAAAAGATAACTACTGTCATTTTCAATTTACTGATGAGAAAATTAGGGTCAAAAAAAATCTAAGTTTAAATTGTCCAAAAATCATACACCAAAAGAACAGCAGATCTGACTTCAAATCCAAATCTGCCTGAATCTGAGTTCAAGTTCGTAAGTACAATTTAGTTATACATAAAGCTGTGAGATATAAAAATCTAAAAAGCAAGGAGAAAAATCACCCCTGAAACTAGCTTGAAGAAGCAATGATTCTTAATATTTTGACATATGTCTTTCCAGTGTTACTGTGAATATATATTATATAAAATATATATACATATTATATATATACACACACATTTATATATATATATATTATATATATATTGTATGTACACTCAGGTTAAGAAATAAAACACTGTCTATACCTCTGAGGAACCCTGTGCAACCCCTTTAAATCACCTTCCCATTTTGTTTTTGTTTTCGATACTGGGGATTGAATTTGAGACCCTGCGCTTATGAGGCAGGCGGCAGAACCACTGAGGTAATCCCCAGCCCTACCTTCCCATTTTAAAAGTGACAACTTATACAATGAAATTACAGAAAAGCAAGGTAATAATTACCACTTATATTTGTATCCCTAGACAGTTTTAGTTTTGCTTGTGTATTTTCTTTTGTGATTTACTTTTCACCCAATTGTATTGTTTACAAAATTTACCCAAATAAATGGGTATAACTGTTGTACCGTTCCACTGCCATATAGCATTGCATCGAATGAATAAACCACAATTTATTAATTCTTTTACTGATTAGCCTTTGATTTTTTTCCAGTTTAGGAAACAAACTACTATTATAAAGAATGTTTCTCTGAATATCTTGCATATATCTCCTGGGACACACTGCAAAAGTTCCTTTAGGGGATGTATCTAGCAGAAGAATTCCTAGATAATTTCTAGAAGAATTCCTAGATAATGTCTGTTGTCTTCCAGTGATTATATCAATTTTCACTTCCAACACTATAAACCCTTCTGCTGTTCCACATGGTGGTGTTAGACTGCATACTGTATTTCTTCAACTCTAAGATGCACGTTTCCCCACAGAAACATGTCTGAAAATATTCTTTCACAGGTACTATTTAGGCAGGCAGTGGAGACAGGAAGCCGTCACTGCCTGAGCATGAAGGTCAGACAATAAAAGAGCATTCTTTCAAGAAATGTAAGGCTGGATATGGTAATGTACACCTATAATTCCAGCATTCAGGAGGCTGAGGCAGGAGGATCACCGTAAGTTCAAGGCCAGCGTGGACCACATGGTAAGTTCAGGACAGCCTGAACTACAGAGTGAAATCCTGTCTCAAAAAGGAAAAAAAAAAATGTAACATCCCCAGTATTCTTGACAGCAGGGGAGACAACACAGTATAGAAAATCACAGATATCAAGGACTCTGAGTAGACTGAAAAAGTCTTAAAATATGGATCCTGACATAATAATTTAACAGTAAAAATTTCTTCTACAAGAAAAAGCACATTTTATTTCCTCCTACAAATGAGTACCACTTCATGTTATAAGGGGGTACCACCTACAAACTGAAAAAAAAAACAGGAAAAACCTTTTTGCTTCATTAAGAAACTGGATGTAATAGAGACCAAGTTTGCTGACTTGCCCTAAAAATAATACTATGACTCAGTTGACTCTTTTTATTTATCTTATTTATAAAAAATTAAATTTATAAATTAAATTATGAATGACTGTCTTTGTAAAGAGAGAAAAAAACATCCAAACAACCTAAGATTCAACTGCATAACATTTTTTTTTTCTTGGTACCGAGGATCAAACTCAGGACCTTGTGCTTACAAGGCAGGTGCAGCACCTCTGAGCTAAATTCCCAGCGCTGACACAGCAGGCACTCAATAAATACCTGCTCCTAGACATAAGGGATCACTGCCCTCAGATTAAAACAGAGAGGCAAAAATTTTGTAATGTGAGACTAAATCTGTTGAAGTCAGTGAAGATTACTCTGCTGAAGTAAAGTTGGAACGGACGCTATTCTGATTTCATGTTATACAAGATGTCTAAATTTTAAAACTGTTTTAAAGAAAATATGTTTATAGAAGAAGGCAAAGCATGCTTCCTCTCAATTGCCGGTACATGTTATTTAAAACAAATATAGCTAATTCCAGATTAATATGATTTTAAAATCAATACTATCCTATTTCCAGTACTTTCTAAATCAAGAGGGAGTGGTAAGAGCCTAGCAATGGTCTCCCTGCTGCTGCCCAGGCAAACAGCACACATGCGGCACCATCCACAACTTACCTTGTTGCGGCATTCCTTCAGCAGGCCCTCGACAAACTTCCAGTTGGTCTGAGCAATAACTGACGGAGAGAGGTTGGACAGTTTGGGCTGGCGGATGGTGCTGCCCATATTCCTGGCTTCCTGGATGTACTTCTACATCAAACAAAAATCAAAGACCCTTATTGTCCTTGCACACAAACCAGGGGCAAATAGTACTGATGGGTCCCTGAAGAGGGCACTATCACACCATCTCTTACCTGCCTTTTCTGGGCTCAGAGAAAGCTGGGAGCCAAAAGTTTAAAATGTAATTCCTGAACCAAAGGGAAAAACAGGTAATATGATTTGTTTTTGCTAATGTAAAGCACTCCATGAATACTATAATTACCTTTTACTTAAAGATACAAGAAGCAAGGCTAGAAATGTAGCTCAATTGCAGAGCAACCACAAGGCCCTGGGTTTGATCCTCGGTACCGCAAAAAAAAAAAAAAAGGATACATGATTATAATATGTATGCACCTGGGCCAGGGATTTAGCTCAGTGGTGCCGCTGGCTGCCCCACAAGTGTAAGGTCCCAAGTTCTATCCCCAGTACCAAAAAAAAAAAGGTATGCATCCATGCATAGCTTAGTGTGTAAATTTAATCAAATTACTATTGAGGAAATTTTCTCCACCAAGTTGAGAGGGATTAACCTCTTCTGCCCATATCAAAGATACCTATTCTAACCTTGCTAAATTATGACCTGAGAAAATAAGACCACATAATCAAAATGACTGCAATATGCTGATTTTGTTTGTTTAACTGACAGCAACACAATTAACTACAAACTGACATCCCACTATCTTACATTCATAACCAACATTTTTACCTTGTACTTTTCCCCAACACATATTTATTCTAACTGCACAACTCTGCCCATTCTATATTCTGACTTCTTAATCTGCCCCTCCTACCAACTCCCAAGGTGAGGGTTCAGTTCCGAGCACTTGGACCACTGCTACCTGCCTAACTTGCCTGCTATTCCTCCCTCCTCCAAAATACTCTGTTCTCCGCCTGATTGTACGAGACACACCATGCTTTCCTTTTCCTCTACTTGCCATTCCTCTACTTGAGTTACTCTTCTTTCTCTCTGATGATCCCATCATCCTGGAAGGATTAACACGTTCACAACAGGGCCATGATTTGTGGCCCTGAACCACCAAGGGTACACGCATAAACGTCCTGGGCAGATAGGCCAGATGTGCACACACCTCCAGCAGCTCAAGCCGGCAGGAACACAGACACAGGAAATAAATGCTGGTTCCTCCTCCACGTAGTTCTGTTTGTTGATTACCCAAGTAGAACTGATCTCTGCTTTCCCTCACCAGTGATCCTATAAGAGTTTGTGCCTCATATCATCACTTCAGGATTCTCCCACTAAAATTATTTGTGTATCTGACTTTGCCCCCTTAATAAACTGGTATTCCCTGAGACAAGGCTACCTCCTTGTCATCTTTATATTTCAAAGTGCTGACCTCTGTGATTTTGACCAAGAAAGTGGGCTCAATAAACACTACTGAAAACAGTAATAGAGAGATGAGGTGAAAGACACAGGGGAAAATTTTAAAACAGCAGTGCCGGGCATGATGGTAAATGCCCATAATCCCCGTACTTGGGAGGCTGAGGCAGGAGGATTGCCACAAGTTCAAAGCCAGCCTGAACTACAGAGTGAGACTTTGTCTCAAAATAAAATAAAACAAAGTAAAATAATAAACACACCAGTACCAACACCCTTTATGTCACTGTCACAAAAAGTCTAAGTGCAAATGAATCTTGTAATCGCAGTTAAAAATTCATAACCAGTGCCAGGATGTAGCTCAGCAGTACAGTGCCTGCGTGGAAAGCTTGAAGTCTTGAGTTCAATCCTCAGTACCAAAAAAACACAAAAATTCATAATAAGACAGGTGTGGTGGCACATACCTGTAATCCTCGCTATTTAGGAGGCTGAGACAGGAGGATTCCAACTCCAAGCCCTTGCTAAGTTGGGCAACTTAGCAAGATCCTGTCTTTAAAATTAAAGAAATAAAAAGGGGCAAGGAAGGGATAAGCTCAGTGAGAAGACTGTGGGTTTAATTCCTAGTTCCATGCAAAAATAAAAATAAAATAATTCATAGCCATACCTTACAGTTTTAATTTATTCCTTTAAAAATAACAATAGCAAAACAGGTTCTTTTCTTACTCACTGAGGTGACAGACACATGAAAACAGTGTGATTTACTGGGGTTGAAAATCACAGGGTCTTTTCACCAATGGAAAAGTTCCAGAAATAGGCTTCTTCTTTCTTTCTTTCTTTCTTTCTTTATTTTTTTTTTTCTGGTTTTTTTGCCCCCTTTGGTACCAAGGATTGAACTCAGGACCTTGTGCTTGCCAAGCAGGCGCTGTGCTGCTGAGCTACACCCCTGGGCCCCTGAAATAGGCTTTTAAAGGTAAAGGTGTTTTCTCACAACTACTCCACATCTACATAAGGAACTGTCTCCAACCTGCAATTCAGAACTAGAAACATTACCACAGAAAGAAGCTACAGTACAGCAGAATATCTCAGCTTACAATCAATGAGAATTCAGTAATAAATTCAAGAATTCTCAATCCCCAAACATTTGATAATGTCTTTCCTTCTTGTCTAAGGGAAAAAAAAACTTTATAAGATTGCTTGTTTTAAATTACGATACAGAAAAAAGTCCCACTTTCCCAGATTCAGATATTCACAGCTTTAACCCAAGTTCACTCATCCTCCTTTTCACTCTAACAAAATTAACTCCTATCTTATCACAAAAACAAAAAAAAAGCCAGCCAGTGTGGTGGTACACATCTGTCATCTCAGCACCTGGGACTCTGAGGAAGGATGACTGGACACAAGTTCAAGTCCTACATGGGTAACTTAGTGAGACTCTGTCTCCAAATAATAAAAATAAAAAGGCTTGGGTGAAGGTCAGGTGAGGGTCCTGAGTTCAATCTGCAGTACTGCAAAATTAGACAAATAAACAGCAACAACAAAACCTTACTGATTTGAAAAGAAGTCTCATCTTCTGAGGTTTTTCATTGCACCTGCGAGGTAATGAATGGGTAAGTATGGAGAGGAGCTCTATGGTCAGTGGCTCACTGTCACCTGTTAAACACCCTACATTCTGAATTGTCACAACCTAAAACCAGTGTCACGTATTAAGACCGAGGCCTACTACTGACCCTTCGTTATGGAGAGAGGTCATTGCTAGGACACATAACTCAGACCAGAGACCAAGGAAAGGGAAGGTAGGTGCAGCATGTTAAAAGGATCACTTCTTGTCATTCTTAAAGTTTCTTACCTCCCTCTGGTCATTATCTAAACGCAGGTGTTCAGTATGCTGCTTCTGCCGGTCTTTCCGCCTCCATTGGGCAGGGGCATTCCTTTTTGTCCACCTGAAAGAATCAAAACAGGCAATTAAGAACATCCTACTGCTGGGCTAGGTGGTGCCTGCTTATAACCCTAGAACTTGGGAGGCTCACAAATTCAGGCCCTGCCTCACAACTTAAGAAATCCTATCTCAAAATAAAACATAAAAAGGGTGGGGCTATAGCTTAGTGCAAAGGCTCTAAATTCATTCCCCAGGACCGGGGAGAGGAGGAGTAAGGTCAACTAACAGGAGAAAACTCAAATGACTAGGGGGCTAAAACTGAACACAGGAAACCACCAAGTCACCAGTAACAGTTCAGAAACATTGAAGAAGTATAGCTTAACAAGCAGGGCCTTGGGCCAGGGGTTGGCTCAGTGGTTCTGCTGCCTGCGTACAAGTGAAGGGCCTCCTGAGTTCAATCCCAGGTACCAAAAAAAAGCAGGGCCTTAACAGAAGAGACAGACAGATCTCTCCAAGGGACACAGATATATCTGTCTTGAAACAACTCTAAAACTTCACATGCAGGCTTGAAACTATACTCATTCAGCTCTCCCTGGGCTTTGATATACTCATCTCTAAAAGTAACTAAAGAAGAGCAATCCAGCTAAATTACCTACTTTCAATACAGGATCCAATTATTCCAGCCACTATTTACTCAACAAGGCTGGCCAGCTGTTGTATGAGATCCAGGCACAGGATGATTTGAACCCATACCCAGCCAGGCTTTTTGCAGGTCCTAAGTATGTACACCAATCAGTTTGCACAATGGAGACAGTAACTGACCAATACCCTGTCACCTATTTTCTCATTCAAACAAGTAAAAACCCTGTATAACCTGGGTCTTCTCCATATTTACTTTAGAAAATTCTGAGGTCTTTTGGGGACACCACCTCCAACTCAAAAACTGAATGACCCTCATGGGTGTGGCCTGGAACTGGAGAGGTAGTCTCTGAGGTTGACTCACTTGTTGCTGGCTGGCCCAGTAGAAAGTACATCAGATTGGAGCTTAGGGAAAAAGCCCGGCTCATACTTCCCTTGTCCTATCTTCATGTCAAGTAAATGCGGGTGAATTGCGGTATGGTCAATTTTTGCCAGGCGTAGCTCAATTGCTTTCTCTGGATGAGAATTAAAAAAAAAAATCTAAGTCAATTTTTTTTTTTACTTCAGGCTAAGATGGAGTAAGAGAGACTGATTTTTACCCTCCTACCTGAAATAACAGGAATAAAAATTTAAAACAGGCAAAGTACATAAAACAATGAATTTAAACACATTGAACATCACATAACGAAAGACAGTCCATGGGAATCAAGAAACAGATGAGGTAGTTACTATAATTGCCTCAGCTAACTGCCTTGACAATTTCCAAGCCTGAGACACAGGGAGGGGAAAATTAGGTAGAATATAGTAGACTCCCTCAGTTAAGAGAAAAAGTAAAAGATCAGAGAGGGCCCAGGATTTACCTCAGTGGTACTGCTGCCTGCCTCACAAGCACAAGGACCTGAACTCTAATCTTCAGTACCAAAAAAAAAGCTCAGAGAGAATAAGGTAACTAGAAGTAACAAGAAATGGTACTAGAAGCCATAATCCCAGCACTTGTAAGGTTGAGGCAAGAGGATTACCATGAGTTCGAGGCCAGTCTAGACTGCATAGTGAGGTCAACACCAGCCTAGACTATACAAGATCCTGTCTCAAAAAAAGAAAAAAGAAATGACAGAGAGGAGAGAAAACCCAGTAAAAGTCCTGTAAAAATCACTCAATCATGTGTGTAGTGCACAATTTTTACACTTGATCTTAGCCAAAAGGCCTAAAAGCGAGTGCAGTACACAATTTTTAATATTCATATGTTCCAGCACAATGCTGTATTAGGTGAAAGAAAATGAGTAAACATAGTCTCTGCATTTAAATTCCCTAATGATGATAACTCAAAAGAATAGGGATAAGGGCCGGGGATTTAGCTCAGTGGTGCTGCCACCCGACTCACAAGCACAAGGTTTTGAGTTCAATCCCGGTACCAAAAAAAAAAAAAAAAGAATAGGGATGATTGAGAGGAGGCAAGAATAAAGAAGATGGGAGTGCAGAGAAGAATCAACTGCTCAACCTGCGGCACCAGAGAAAGCTTCACAGGAGAGAAGACATATTGGCTAGGTTTTTGGGTTTTTTTTGACAAACATTAACTTCTTACTCATATTGCATTTACCCCTTCTTTCTTGATTACAGAACTCATGTGTTATTCAGGGTAGCATTTGCCCCAGCTCATTGTTCACTTTCACAAACTCTCTTGGACTTTAAAGGTGGTCATATAATAGGATTCTGGCCTATGAGACAATGGAAGTCGTTGGGACTCTCTGGGAAAATGTTCATTTTCTGGAAAAGGGAAAAATACAGTTGGCATCAACTTTCCCCTCTCCTTGTCTTAAATGTGGATATAAAAAGCCTCTTATAACCAGGAAGCAACAGCATCAATATAAAAATCAACATGTTAAGGAGAGCTGAACAGAGAGAGAATCTCAGTTCCAGTTACACTATTGAGGCTGAGCAAATACCAGCAACCAACCAACCAACTCTGCCTTCCACCCCTCCTCACGTCTGTCTAAGCAGACTGATGATTAGGTTCTATGTTACACAGCACGATTCCTAACGCAATGTTAAAGGGTAAAGATTGTCAGGCAAGAGCAGCAGCAAGACAAGACAATGCAGGAAGGGTAACACGCAAAAGCAGACACAGAGTAAGACGAAAGTGTGTTTTAGAGATAGGGACTTGTTAGTGGCAGCCCGAGAGACTAAAATGCACCACTCGAAGGAGGCTTTACCTGCTTCGTCTACAGTGGTACACTTCTGGTACATGGAGGTGCGGAGAGTAGGCGTCCGAACATTCAACAGTCTGATCTTGTCTACTCGGGAATCAAATACCCGGAGTACAGGGTCTTTATCATCATCGTCATGGCACATGATTTTGTTATCAATGAAAGAAGCAAACATCTGGGTCTCCAGAAATCTTGAGAGGAAGGGCAGGTAGGGCTCAGGCTGATCTGACAGAAAAGATGCCTGGTAGAAGCAAAAGGAAAAAGGTCACTGATGAGGAAGAGAATGTCAGCACTGATCCTCACAGTGAATATGCTCGAAGGATGTAGTAAATTAACTCTCTTCTGTAGTGCCTTAGGTCTTTATGAAAAGGAATCTACAAAATCTCTTTTTGTTTTTATTTTGTTTTTTGTTTTGAGGCAGGGTCTCATTAAATTGCCCAGGCTGGGATTGAATTTGTCCTGCCTCAGCCTCCCAGAGTACTAAGATTATACTCCTGTACTGCCACACTCAGCTTCTTTCTTTTCTTCCCCCACCCCCTTTGCCATGCTGAAGATTGAACCCAGGGCCCTGCATATGCTAGGCAAGTGCTGTACCACTGAGCTGTATCTCTATCCCTTGTATTCCCAACCCCCCCGCCATACTGGGGATTGAACTCAAGACCTTGTGCTTGCCAGGCAGGTGTGACACCACTGAGTTAAATTCCTGGCCCTCTAGCCCTTGATTTTAAAACAGGATCTTAATAAGTTGCCCAGGCTGGCCTTCAACTTGTTATCCTCCTGCCTCAGCTTCCTGGGTAACTGGGATTGTAGGTATGCACTACTACCCGCAACCATACACATTCATATACCTAGCACACAACAGATGGCGACAGAAGGATTGCAAGCTCAAGGCCAGCTTGGGATACAGAGCTAGTTGAAAGCCAATTTGGGTTACCCAGTAAAACCCTAACTCAAAACAAACAAAAATTCACATAAATTCAAGCGTTAAAACTTTCACACTGGCATCCCAGCTGATATCCCAGCTGAAGCAGGAAGATCACCATAAGTTCAAGGCCAGCCAGTGAGTTCAGGGCCAGCCTGAACTATAAAGTGAGACCTTGTCTTAAAAAAAAACATTCAAAATGGTGTAAACTTAGGTAATCTTTTTGGGCAACTCATCAATTCTGATGTTTGATCTACATGTACACTTTGCCTTGAGATTTCTAGCTGGGTGTAGTGACACACACCTATAACCCCAGAATTGCAAACTCAAGCCCAGCCTGGGCAACCCTGTCTCAAAATTAAAAATAAAAAATGTGAAGGCTCTGGGTTCAACCCCCATTAAAGCGGGGAATAAGTCCTTTTGCCCCAGTGCTGTAAGGGAAGGAAAGAAGGAGGCAGGAAAGGAAAAAGGGATCCTTCAGCTGGAAGTAAATCACCTTATAATACCAATGAGGACAACTGTTCTTATGCAACAAGAACGTCTACTCTGACAACATCTGAAGACCATGAAACTAGTTCCAGTAATAGGAAAGAAAAACTAATTTTCAATACTTCTTTAAGATATAACTAAAGTTCTCATTCTTTACCACCTCCCAAACAGGATTATACTCACTTTATCAAAGTTTTGCATCTGCTCCCTGTTGGTGAACCAAGATTCCTTATCCTGGCTGGGTTGAATGACAAACACTTCATAATCTGCAAACATCTGAGTAAAACGATTTGCAAAAACTTCCCGGATCTGAATGTTTAGCTGGTAAATCCTGAGTTCTTCTTCATCGCACTGAACTTTGAGATCTTTATTGCTACTGGGGTCTTCACGCACTTCCAACTACAAAAAAGAAACAATGGCTGAGAAAACAGATACTTTACCTTTTATCAAAAGAAATACACATATGGTATCTATAACCACAGCACTCAGAGGCTCAGGGAAGAGGATCTTGAGTTTGAGGCTAGTATGGACTACACAGTGAGACCCATCTCAAAACGAAGAAATTCGACTCATCTCAAAAACAAAGGTAACTCATCTGATTCTTTTTTCCAGTAGTCTTTTATTTAGCAACAAATGGTGAAAACAAAAGAGGGGAAAACTGGAAGAAAAATAAAAGAGAGCAAGAGCAAGATTCTAATGTGGAGGAAAGATAAAGAGTTTCACTTAAAGGTGTTCAGCAACTCAATCAAAGTATAAATAAGAACACTGTAGGCAAAAAGAAATCAGCCACTGAGGAGAAAGTGCTAATTATCTCAAGGCTCAAGGAGAAAGAGGGATTCTAGAAAGTCAATAAATAAATATTACCGGCTCTCTTATCTCTTTGATTTTGTGCCTTCCTATATCACTTTCCTTATCGTTCAAAGGATTTTCCTTTTTAAAAAAACAACCTTTAAATCTTCCTAAACTTTTTTCTGTCCTTTAAGTGGCTATGATTTTTTTAAAGTATCTGTTGTGTTGACTAAGTGAAGCAGAAAAATGAAATCTTTCACACTTCACTAAAAAAAAGTCCAAAAACATTGATACAGGGCCGGGGATTTAGCTCACTGGTGCCACTGCCTGCCTCACAAGCACAAGGACCCAAGTTCAAAGGACCTGGTACAAAAAAAAATTTTTTTGATACATTGACCAATTTGTTTACATGTAATTCACAAAAGTAATTTAACAATGATATGAGAATGGGGAGGGTAAAGAGTTGGGCAAATAAGTATAAAGCTCAGTTCCAAAGTCCAAAAAGGGAAACCCATCCAAGAATGGTGTCACATGCCTAGGATCCCAGCACTCTGGGAGGCTGAGGCAAGAGGATCACAAGGTGGAGCCCAGTCTGCGCAACTTAGCTACTTCGCAAGACCTTGTCTCAAAATAAAAATAAAAAGGGGCTGGGAGATAACTCCATGTGAAAGCCCATGGTTCATTCCCCAGTATGAACAAATGAATGAACGAAAGATGGACAGAGGGAAGGAGAAGGGAAAGAGAAAAGAAAACAGTGGAGGGCAGGGGATTGAAGAGGAGGCAAGGGGAGCGTCGCATCAAGTACAGTGTCTTCCATATAACAGCACCGGACTAGAATTCAAGAAGACCAGTTCTAGTCTCGCTCAGCTCAACTTCTTGCTGGGCCACTGAATCCTAGGGAGAACACTGAGGCTCTCTGCGCTATACAACAGTTAATAGCTGCTCTATGGGTTGCTATGAAACTCACAGGAAAATGGATCTGGAAAAGGTCTGAACAAAAGATCACCACCACCATCATCATCATCCCTCGAAGTCATTTGTTTACACACAGAATGGCTTACAGGCTCTCCTTGACATGCATGTGAGAAGCTACCCACATTTAGATTCAAGCAGCATTTGCAAGTATAACATCTGCCAAGCCAGGCATGGTGGCGCACACCTGTAATCCCAGCACTTGGGAGGCTGAGGCAGGAGGATCACTGTGAGTTCGAGACCAGCCTGGGCTACATAGTGAGTTCCAGGTCAGTCTCAACTACATAGTGAGACCCTGCCT